AGAAGGAGGGAGGGTGCATGGGGTACCACGAGGTGCCCACGCAACTGCCAGTGAAACAGCATGGCCCCAGGAGACGTGTGAAGAGGTAGTTTGATTACCAGAAAGCTAAAAAACAGATAGTAAGAGATTTCCAATTTCCAACATGTGTAATAATTTTTCTAAAATATGGATGAAGGAATAGCTAAGAACCATACCTAATGTGGTGCAGCAGTTTGAGCGTTGGACAACAACCATGGTGTGAATCCCTACTCAGCCACGGAAACCCACTGAGTGACCTTGGTCAAGTCACATTCTCTCAGCCTCAGAGGAAGGCAATGGTGGCACACCCCCTCTGCACAAGTCTTGCCAAGAAACCCTGTGAAGCAAAAGAGGCCATCTTGTTTTCATAGGTTAAAAACAGATCACCAGCCTTTCCCCTTTTCTTTTCCTTTTCCCCCCGGCATCGAAGGAGCCTCACCGGCAATCTTTCCCATCAGATCCCTCTGTCTCCTCATGCTCTTCAAGTTCTTGACTCTTTCCGGATAGCCTGGTTTTTGGTATTTTTCTTCTTCCTGGATGAGGAGGTCAAGGTAGTCTTCAGTGGAGGGCAAGTTGGGCTTCAGGGCAATTTCCTGAAGGCGCCCATGGCTTGGGCTTGCCTTCTCAGTCAGTTCCTCTGCCTTCTTCCTTGCTTCCTCCACGTCTATTTTCAGACACCTCAGCAATGATTCTGAGGTGAATTTACCTTCTATACTTTTCTCATACTGTCTCTTCAGGATATCAATGGTTATCCTCTCTATAACGGTTTTCATTTCATAGATGAAATATTCTTGAACGTGATCACTCACAGAACAATGGCCAGGACAAACATTACATTTACCTGAGAAAAAACGAATTGCTGCACAAAAGCGATTCAAACGGTTTCCTGTATCCCAGCAAGGATAGTGGCAAGTGAACTCACACTTGCTGCAATTGGTTGCACAATACTCAGTGTCTTGCTTGATGGGTTTCTCTTTTTGTATCTCACACTCAAAGTTCTCTATGTCTGCCTTGAACTGGTCCACAGCTTTCTGCACTGTCTCCAGCTCTTGTACTTTTGTCAAGGCAACTTTGATTTGTTTCTCCAGACCGGCCAGGGCAATTTCTAGTTCCTTCCGTTCTCTCAGGACTTCATTTGTCAGAGTTAAACTTCTAGTTTCCAAGTTGTTCAGGGAGTCAAAGTAGGTCTTCATGCTCATTTTACCCATTTCCCAAAACATTTGATCAAAACTAGGGCTTCCTGCACACTCTCTAGAATTGCTGACAAAAAGCGCAGAATTGTTGAATTTGAAGTGGACGGGTGTCCTGCTGGCATCTTTGACGCATGGCACATCAG